TTATGTTTATGTTTATGTTTTAATTTATTTACGAAAATAAAAAAAAAAAAAAAACGTTGGATTTAAACATCGTTCGAGAGATGATGAAAAAAAAAAATGATAAAAGCTTCGGGAAACATTTTCTTTTTGTAATTGTTACAATTTAACCCGTGCAAGAATGACAAGTTAAAAACGTGATTCGCGAATATTTTCAAACTTTTTTTTCTCGTAAACAAACAAGTAATAATTTTGTTTCAAAACTTTTATGTTTTGAAAATAAATAAATGTTTCCATAAATAAACAATGGAATTTTTTTTTTTTTTTGATTTCTTTGTTTGCGTTTTCGATACGTTTCGCTCGTACGAACTTTAAGCTTTTTAAGGGTTGAGAAAATGGCGGTGGCGGTTTGTGGAGAGGCGGAAAGGGGGTTAGGAAATTCCCTTTTTTTTTTTTTTATTTTTCGGTTTCAAATTTTTATTGCTGATTTTACCGTTTTTTTTTTTTTTTATTCTTTTTTTTTCCTTTTTAAAATTGAATCGAGTTAAAGAATTATTTTTCTGAGTTTTTGGAGAGAAAAAAAAAAAAAAAGCGACGTCAAAAGTGATTTGTGTGTGTGTCTGTTGAAAAAATGAGTTTTTTTTTGTTCACATCATTTCCGGTTTTGCGTTTGATTAAACTTTCGTGTTTTTAAGTACCGTATTAAAAAACCAGTAAAAAAAAAAGAAAATTCTTTTCGTCTCTGATTTCTTTTGTAATTTTATTTTTATTTTTGTTCTCGAAATAAATTTGTGCGGTTTATTTAAATTTCTAAAACTTGTCATTTTTTTTGTTTTTTTTTTCGTTTAAATTTTTAGCTTTTGTCGGTTTGTCGTTTGTCTCAAATTTCAATTGTATACGAAAACCTTTTTTTTTTATTTCCCTTCCCATTCGACAAAAAAAAAAAAGAAAATGACCGCAATGACCAAATAAACGCACGTAAACACGAACAAAAAAAAAAAAAATTTTTTAGAACATAAAGTTTACGACTCAAAATTCTTTCATTTATAAATAATTACGTCATAAAATTTTTTTTTCTAATACAAAATATTCAGCAAACAAACAAACAAACAAACAAGATGCAGGAAAAGATATAAATACAAAAAAAAAAATCTTTTTTTTGGTTTTTTCCTACTACTCTCACTTTTTCACCGTGGAAAATAAAAAAAAAAATTTAAATTTTACTTCTGCTAGAAGGTCATTTCAAAAAACGTAAAAAAAAAAATTAAAACTGGAAAACAAACGACAAACAAACAAACAAACAAGTAAAAAAAACGATCGAAAAATAAAAAAAATATATACATATA